CATCAGCATCAACATCGCCATCACCGTCATCATTAGCACCAGCATCATCCCCGGTATCGTCATCATCATCGTCACCATCATGATCATCATCACCGTTAACAGCTTTACCATCATCATTATCAGCACCATCATCATCACCATCATCCTCATCATTTGTCCTCCTCCTCCTCTTCCTTCTTGCCCCTCTGTTTCCTCCAACCTCTCCTCCTCATTCTCCTCCTCCTCCTCTTCAATCCTCTTCCTCCTCCCCTTATGGTCCTCCCCCTTCTCTTCCTCCTCCTCCTCCTCATCCTCCTCCTCCTCCTCCCCCTTCCTCTTCCCCTTCTCCTCTTCCTCGTCTTCTCCTCCTTCTCTTCCTTCATATCCTCCTACCCACAGTCAACCCGCAGCATAAAGAAGCGCGATAAGCATGCAAGAGCCTCGGAGGCCCATGGTAACGCGTTGCGAACGAGGTTGGGCAGCGAAAGTCGCTAAGGATGGGCCGAAGGGGCAAGGATGCAGGGGTACCCTTGGGAAGGTTGCCCATCCTGACTATGCGGGTTGACTGCGCCCCAAGCGGCGGCGCGCGCGGGAGAGAGCCCGACGACGAAGACGACGACGACGATGACGACGAACGTCGTCCTCCCCCATCCTCTATCTCCTCCTCCTCCTCCTCCTCCTCCTCCTCCTCCTCCTCGTCCTCTTCCTCCTCTACCTCGGCGGCACGCGCGTGAGAGAGCGCGACGACGACGACGACGACGACGACGTGACGTCCTCTGGCCCCTCAAGGCCCGCTTCGTCCTCTGGCCCATGGAGGCCCGTTTCGGACCCCGGGCGCGTTCGGTGGAACTCGAGCCGGGGGGGGAGACGCAAAAGTGCAGAACGAGGGGCGAGACTGCCGTCATCAAGAGCCCTCGCGTGGGCATCGGCTCTGCACGGGCTGGTGGGCATACTCGGGGCGCCGTCGATTCCAGAGACATCGTTTGCAGTCCAGGGCCGTTCTGATCTCTTATGGACACTACATGATGTTTTTGGTGGGCATACCCATTGATAGCGCCACACGTATTGCACTGCAGATCTGGCACTTCCACCGTCTGGGGGCCCGCGTTGGCAGACGTGTTGTCGGTGGCGACGAGACGCACATGTTTCCAACCACTGGGTCGTGGGATAGCGGCGAGCGAACTTCAGCCGCTGGCCAGGGGCGGTGGCGGTCGCATCTCCGAACGGCCTCTTCGAGGCGGGAGCATCGGAGCACGGCTGTTTTAGACAACGGCAACTGAACATGGGTCCCCGCGCCCCCGCCCCGCTCAGTACGTGCTTGGTGTTTGGTGTTTGGGGTCTGGTGTTTGGGGATTGGGGTTTGGGGTTTGGTGTTTTTTGGGGTTTGGTGATTAGGGTGTGGTGTTTGGTGTTTGGTGTTTGGTGTTTGGGGTTTGGTGTTTGGGGTGTGGTGTTTGGAGATTGGGGTTTGGTGGTTGGTTTTTGGTGTTTGGTGTTCGATGTTTGGGGGGGTTGGGGGGAGGAAGTGGAAAACCTGCAAGGGTCTCACCTGGAGAAGTAACCGACCTGGCATTTTGCTACTTTCACCGAGAGAAGAAGACCTTTTCCCGGAGAAGTGACCCTTTTCCCGGAGACCGATTTTTCCCCCTCTTCCTCCACTTTCTCCTCGGGAGGTGGAGGCATAGCCAGGAGGAGGCGGGGAAGGAGAAGGAGAAGGAGAAGGAGGAGGAGGAGGAGGAGGAGAAGAAGAAGGGGAGGAAGAGGAGGAGAAGAAAGCGGAGCAGCAACAGCAGCAGCAGCAGTCGCAGCAAAAAGGACGAGGAGTCACTGGCCCCCCGCTGGCCTGAGGGGGCGAGGAAGCTTTCCGCAGGCCGGCGACCCTGGCCAGGCTCGCCCCGAGACCAGGACCGGTGCACGCGACCCCCCGGCGCGGCCAGGGAGGTGTGAGCGCCGATCCTGGGCCCTGGGCGGGCGTGCCCGAAGGATTGCAAAAAAAATACCCTGCGACGCACCCAACCCACGTGCATCAAATGGCAAGAGGAGTATGCCAACATTAGCAGGAACAACGACAGTGTAGACGCGGCGATTTGCTGTGCAAGCTACATGGGATGCGCATGCGTTGCACGATTCACAGGACGACGATCGAAAGAACGAGGCTTGAGGCCCCAGGATCGAAGAAGAACGGGTACGGGAACGAGGGGTAGGAGAGGGATGGAATGGAGGGCGGGGGGGGCGAAAGGCCATCGCGGAAGCAGCAGCATGCATGGAGAAGGTGAGGCGGGGAATAGGACGACGATGAAAGTGGCGGGAGGAGACAGAAGACTGCCGCGTTTTTCAAGTGCGAGCTAAACCCGCAGCGCTGCCTGCGCCATGTCGTCGCAGAGTTCCACATGATAAAACTTGTTTAGAGTGCAAGGAACGAGCGAGGCGTAGCTCGCCCGCTAGCTTCTCCGCCTCCTTCCCGCACATTTCAGCGCGGGAGCTGAACGCTCGCAGGCGCGCCGCCAGGTCTGCGGGCGGCCCGCGGGAAAGAAACTCAAGGCCGGGGTCGCGTATCATCAATCGGTTGTCCATCGTCCAAAGTTGCACTGGCGACGTACTGGTTGAACGCGGAGCGAGCAGCATCACGCGCGTGCCTGAACGCCACGCAGGTACAGTGCACGCGCGATTGGGACTTCAGGTCGATCACGCGCGTCTCCACCAGGCTTGGCAACACCACGCGACTGAGGATCTCACTGCGGTCTGCCATGCTGCTGTCCGCGAATGCAATGCGCTGCCTGCAAGTAAGGCGGCGGCGTCCACTTGTCTCAGAAGATGTTCCCGCGGGCCCGAAGGGCGACCGCCAGCTCGAGCCGCGGCGCCGGCAGGCCAGATAAGGATCATGCAACAGCAAAGACGATGACAGAGCAACGAGGTATCGGCGAGTGCATGACCGGCCTCCGTTTCCTGCACTTCTTTCCTGTAGTTCCCCTAGCTCATCGAGCTCAGCAGATGTTTCTGCGGGTCCGAAGGACGACCGCCAGCTCGAGTCGCAGCGCCGACGAGCTGCATCCACATCAGGCAACACCCCAGGAGACACTGGCACACAACGATTTGACGTCAGTCAGTGCCAGACCACTCCATGTCTAGTTCCTCGCACACATACAGTCGATCGCAGATGCGGGATAATCGAAGTAGAATGACGGGTCCAATCTGCGTCCGCGTAGGACGTCACTATGCTGGACCCCGCAGCAGGTCTCGAAAGTGGCGACAGTTTCATGGGCCCCACAGCAGCCCTCGAAAGTGGCGACAGTTTCACAGATCGTAGCCCCCCAGCGCTGGCGAGGTCTAATCTGAGTCCCCGTAGGACGTCACTCCGCTGGCCCCCCAGCAGCCTTCGAAAGTGGCGACAGTTTCACAGATCGCAGCCCCCCAGGGATGGCGAGGTCTAATCTGTATCCCCGTAGGGCGTCACTCCGCTGGGCCCCCCAGCAGCCTCGAAAGTGGCGACAGTTTCACAGATCGCAGCCCCCCAGGGATGGCGAGGTCTAATCTGAATCCCCGTGGCGTCACTCCGCTGGGCCCCCCAGCAGGCCTCGAAAGTGGCGACAGTTTCACAGATCGCAGCCCCCCAGGGATGGCGAGGTCTAATCTGAATCCCCGTAGGGCGTCACTCCGCTGGGCCCCCCAGCAGCCTCGAAAGTGGCGACAGTTTCACAGATCGCAGCCCCCCAGGGATGGCGAGGTCTAATCTGAATCCCCGTAGGGCGTCACTCCGCTGGGCCCCCCAGCAGCCTCGAAAGTGGCGACAGTTTCACAGATCGCAGCCCCCCAGGGATGGCGAGGTCTAATCTGAATCCCCGTAGGGCGTCACTCCGCTGGGCCCCCCAGCAGGCCTCGAAAGTGGCGACAGTTTCACAGATCGCAGCCCCCCAGGGATGGCGAGGTCTAATCTGAATCCCCGTAGGGCGTCACTCCGCTGGGCCCCCCAGCAGCCTCGAAAGTGGCGACAGTTTCACAGATCGCAGCCCCCCAGGGATGGCGAGGTCTAATCTGAATCCCCGTAGGGCGTCACTCCGCTGGGCCCCCCAGCAGCCCTCGAAAGTGACGACAGTTTCACAGATCGCAGCCACCCAGGGATGGCGACCGCAGGCGGGAGGAGGCGGGAAGGAAGGAAGGAAGGAAGGAAGGAAGGAAGGAAGGAAGGAAGGAAGGTGGAGACCGCAGTGCTCTATTCAAAACGAGTACCCAACGCAGGAGGGTTGGGAAAAAAACGAAGGATTGCAACGAAGGATTGCAACGAAGCGCCGATGGATTGCAAACAAAAAAAACACGTTTTTTTTGTGCAATCCATCGGCGCGTGCGCACGGCCCTCGTCGCCCGAGCCGCCGGGGGGTCCTTCTGCATGCCCGAGAGCTTCTTGTCGAGCTCCAGCAGTGCCGCCGGCTGCGCAGAGGCCGGCTGGGCGGCCGCCGGCTCGGTGAATCGCACGGACTTGTGGGCGCCTCCCGTGGGAGGTCGTCGCCGTCGTCGTCGCCGTCGCCGTCGCCGTCGCCGTCGCCGTCGCCGTCGCCGCCGCCGCCGTCGTCGTCGTCGTCGTCGTCGTCGCCGCCGTCGTCGTCGTCGTCGTCGTCGCCGCCGTCGTCGTCGTCGTCGTACCCCTTCAGGGTCTGCGGCACCAGCCGTAAGGCCTTCCCAACAATAGGCCTCATAGATGGGGTCGGAGTGGATGGGGTCGGAGGATATCGCCGCATCGCCGTGGCATCCCAATGCATCGGCGATGCCTCGGCGATGCAGCCGCGACGTCCGCGTGGAGAATATCGGGCTCCGCATCGAGCCGCATCGCCGATGCATCGGCGATGCGGGGCGATTCTCCGACCACATCTACTCTGACCCCATCTGGGAGGCCTAGAAACAAACAGCAAGCCATACCTCCGACTAGCACGCCCGCACTTGGCACGAAAAATTTGGCACCATGCCGAGCAGCTAATGCTGCCCAAAACCAGCAGCAGTCGCTGTTGGACAGGCGACCCGTCTCCCAGGCAAGCGGAGCGCGCCAGGGGCGGCGCCGGAGGCGCCCCCGGGGGAGTCCAGCGCGGATCGAAGAAATCCGCGCGGGCCTCCGAAAGTTCATGATAATTCCCCAGACAGTGCTTGCATGATAGACAATGAGATCGGCAGAAAATGAGGAGGTCGAAAGATAGATGGCGAGGTCGATAGGAAGATTGATGGTGCGGCTTATAGTGAGGTCAATCCCTAGTGATATCGACAGATAGTGAGGCCGATAGCTATGAAGTGGGATCGATAGAAAGTGGATCGTGAGATCTACAGATAATTAGATTCCCCGATCAGTGCTTGCAGCTAGGGTGTCATACTTATGATCTAAGGAACTGGGCCTGGCTGTCGGTCTAGCAGGCATGTAGACGCCCGTCGCCGCCTCGTCGCCGCCCGTCGCCTGGGCCTGGTTGTTGGTATGGCCGCCACGTCACCGCGGGTCGCCGCGTCGTCGCCGCGTAGTCGCCGCCTCGTCGCTGCCCGCCTCCAGCGCCGATCGAAAAAAATAAGCGCGGGCCTCCGAAAGTTCACGATGATGCCTATATCTCTCCAAGAGCGATTCGCTGGAGGGTTCAAATAAATAGCACAAAAAAAAACACAGACGAGTCCCACAGGGGGGCCGGGGAGCCCGAGAACGCAGGTGCCGGCAGCCGTTTCGCCAGAAGCTGTCTTACAATGGTTTCAAAGATCGTGCTCTCGCCTCAATGCCAGCTACACTTTTGGTCCGTGCGGCCACGATCCCGTGCAACAAACACACTGCTGTACACGTGGTCGTGCTCTAGCCCCTGTCACACGGCCACGATCCCTTTTAAAAAAGCGGTGCACATGGCCGTGCTCCTACCCGCCACACGGCCACGACCCCTAAAGAATACACTGCGGTACACATGGCCGTGATCTCATCCATGTCACACGGCCAGGATCCCTTCTAAAAAGGATGCACGTCGCCGTGCTCCAACCCCTGTCACACGGCCACAACCCCTTGTAAAGAATACACCACGGTGCGCATGGCCGTGCTCTCATCCCCGTCACACGGCCACGACCCCTTTATGAGAACTACGGTGCACATGGCCGTGCTCCAACCCCTGTCACACGGCCACGACTCCATCTTTTTATAAAGACACTACCGTGCATATGGCCATGATCTAGCCCATGTCATACGGCCACGATGCCTTGTGTAAAAACACACTGCCGTGCACATGGCCGTGCTCTCATCCCTGTCACGCGGCCACGGCCCCTTGCAAAAAACAGACTGCAGTGCACATGGCCGTGCGTTCACCCCTGCCACACGACCACGATCCCTTGTAAAACAACACGCTACCGTGCACATGGCCGTGCTCTCACCCCTGTCACGGCTAAGAATCCTCAGGGATGACCGGACATGCACATTGTCACTAGCCGGCCTCCAACTGCTCAACCCGTCCCTCCACCTTCGCTGCTATGAGGGCGCTTTTATGGGGTAACTCTTCGAAGTGAGGAGAAAGGGGGAGGGGAGAGGAGGGCATTGGACGCCGAATCTGAAGCCTCTCGAGCGAAAGTGGCAAACAGTAATAGCCAAGGATGAGCCTGCCGAAGATGAAAGGATGAAAGGGTGCCCATGTAAAGATCCTTGCCCCAATGATCCTGTTTGCCATGTCGGGAGGAAGCCAGCCATACACCAACACCGATCCTGGCCAGGCCCGTCCTGGGCCCAGTGCATACGACCTCCCAGCTAGGCCAGGGAGGCGTACACGCCAAACATGGCCCCAGGACTGGCCTGGCCAGGATCGGTGTTGGTGCATGGTTTGCTTCCCCCGAACGGGGCGGCATGGGTCATGGCAGCGTGGCGGTATCGATCATGCCATCAATCGGGCGGTCACGCGGTGTGTTCTGCACACGCCACAGCCCGCATTCACCAGTTCCCAACCTTGCCTTTTTTGTCGCACCGACCTTGCAGACGTGCTGCAGCGGATTCATTACGCAGCCCCCAGACCGCCAGCGAAAAACGACGTGAATTTCACTTGGATTTGTTGTAGTCTTCATTCCTGCCTAAAACAATCCTCACGAAATTCACTTCGAAATCCGGAACGAAAGTCTCCAGGACAATCCGGGCCCATCCCATTGTTTTCGAACGAAACCCGCTCTGCGATGTTGGCGCCATGACTTGTTGCGAGACCCACCTGCTGCAGTCCATCTCAGGAGGCGGAGCACCCGACCGGCTGGGCCGCCCCAGGAGGACGGGGGGGGGGGCCCCAGGAGGACGGGGAAGCTCACCACCGCACAGGGGCGCCCCTGTGCTCGTGCGGCTTGGGGGCGGGCGCGGTCCCCCGGAGAGCCCTGGAGCCGCACTTTCGTGTTCCGCACTGGGCCGTCAGCGCCCAGGGCCTTCGCAGATCGATCGGGCCCTAGAAATGACAACAAAAATAAGGTCCGGGGCTCTGGTCGCGACGTCGGATGGCGAGGTAGGATCGCGACGTCGGTCGCGACGTAAGGTTGTCCACTGTACTAATTTGATTCGCGACGTCCAGTCTCGAGTGTAGTGGGCGGGCCATCGAGGAAGACCCATGACACGATGCGCACTGCACGAGCTCGGACGACTACGTCCGCACGTGCTTTGCGCTTCACGCAAAAGCAACCTTTGCAGTAGCCGCGGCAGTGGCCAGGGGTCCAGAGAACAACCAGACCAAACAGATCCTCCCTTAGCAGTAAAACAGACAAACAATCCAGAGATGTTTGGGAGTGACCAGTTGTGCCTGGGGAGAGCTCCTCTGGCAAGGAATACGATTCGATCGACGAGAGGCCACACTGCTCCACTTGCTCCTCCACCTCATGCCTGGGGGAGGCTCCTCGAGGGATACGATGCAGTCGACGAGAGGCCTCCTTACTCAACGGGCTCCTCCACCTCCTCCCCCCATCCCCCCGGCCCAGGAGCAGTCAGCATCGAATCGGGAAATCAGCTCGAACCGGAACGAGCGTCGAATCGGACGGCATCGACACGAATTGCAACCGAGTCAGATCGGCCGCGACAATACGCAGAACAGCGCAATACCAGCATCGGACCGCATCGGACCGTCGGCACATCGGAATCGAATCGGATCGGGCCGGCCGAAGTCGATATCGAATCGGATCGATCGGATCTGATCAGGATGAACTCCACCTGGACCCCTCTCCCTCGTGCCCTCGCAGATGGCGGGAGGTGGAAGGGGGAAGGAGGGACGGCGGCAGCGGGAGCGGGAGTTGCACATGGAACGGGGAGGTTCCATAACTCTAAGACTGGCCAGAAGCCGATGAGGAGGTTCGGGGGGTGAAACCAACGGCGGGACAACCGTCTCTATCCATCGAGGAAAAGAAGATGTCGGTCTCACTATCTATCGGCCTCACCTTCCATCTACCAATACCATTCACAATATGATAGTCGATCTATACATCAATCGATCGATCGATCTCACGACCGATCCCACTGCATATCTATACATCCATACGTGTACAATAACGTACAATTTCCCGAAACAGTGTTTGCACTTAGGGATTCTTTCGTCCTGAGGAACTGGGCATCGGTGTCGGTCTGCCGGCTCCTTGCTCGCCGTCGCCGCCCCGTCGCCGCCCTAGATTCCTCCTTTCTAAAAAGAGAACAGACTCTACCCCCCCACCCCCGGCGTTATCCCCCCCCCTTTTCGGGTATGTAAATCATGTATGATTCTGACCACATGTCCATCTTAAATATGAATTTACACTATCCCAAGGGAACTGGTATCGACCCCCCTGAGGTTCCCTTGTAAAAGACGATACGCGGGGACATCTTTTGTTCTAACATAGCACTTGTTCGCGAATCCTTTGCAAAAAACGAAACGAAGTGCACACGCGCGCGCCGTCGCGCGCGCATGCCCAAATCCTCCAAAAACCTTCGGTGCCGGAAGGATTTCGCAATTGAGTTTCCAAAAAACATACAAACACACCGGGTTTCGCAACACTGATTTGCTAAAAAAGCTTACGCGCGAGCTCTTGCGAAATCTTAAGAAAGCCACAGGTTTTTCAAGAAGTTCACAAAATGCTACCAAACGGGCTTCGCGCGCGAATCTCGAAATCTGTCGAACGCCCTTGCGCGTGTGCCGTCGCGAGAATCCTCTGCAAAAGCGGGACGAAGTGCACACGCGCGCGTCGTCGCGCGCGCATGCCGAAATCCTACCAAACCCACTCGTTTCGGAAGGATTTCAAAATCGTGTCCAAAAAACATACAAAACACAGGGTTTCGCAACACGGATTTTCAACAAAAGCGTGCGCGCGCGCGCTCTTGCGTCGTCGTCGTCGTCGTCGTCGCCGTCCTCCCGCCTCCCGCGTCGTCGTCGTCGTCGCCTACGTCGTCCTCTGTTTTTCCTCGTGTTCGTCGTCGTCGTCCTCTTTGGCGTCGTGGTCGTTTCCGTCGTCGTTGTCGCCGTGGTCGTCCTCCTCCTCCTCCCTCGTCGTCGTCGTCGTCCGTCGTCGGCGTCTCGTCGTCGTCCCTCCTATTTCGTCGTCGTCGTCGTCGTCGTCGTGTCGTCGTCGTCGTCTTCCCTCCTCCCTCGTCGTTGTCGTCGTCGGCGTCGCCGTCCTTCCTCCTTCTTTGTCGTTCGCGTCGTCGCCGTCCTCCCTCCTCCCTCGTCGTTGTCGTCGTTGTCGTCGTTGTCGCCGTCGTCGTCCTCCCTCCTCCCTCGTCGTCGTCTTCGTTGGCGACGTCGTCGTCGTCGTCGTCGTCGGCACCGACGGCGTCGTCGTCTTCGTCGTCGTCGACGTCGGCGTCGTCGTCGTCGCCGCCGTCGTCGTCGTCGTCGTCGTCGTTGACGTCGTCGTCGTCGTCGGTGTCGTCGTTGTCGTCGTTGTCGTCGTCGTCGACGTCGTCATCGTCGTCGTCGTTGTCATCGTCGTCGTCGTCGGTCGTCGTCGTCGTCGTCGGTGTCGTCGTCGTCGTTATCGGCGTCGTCGAAGTCGTTGGAGACGTCGTCGGTGTCGTCGTAGTCGTTGTCGGCGGCGTCGTCGTCGTCGTTGTCGTTGTCGTCGTCGGCGTCGCTGTCGTTGCCAAGTGCCACTTGGTACCCACCGTCACGGTCTTAAGAGATTTTGCAAACCAAGTTGCGGGTGGGTGGGTGGGATGTGTGCGCGAGCAGTGGAGGTGATCAAGCGCGGTGCAGGGTAGCCACTTGCACCACATAGAATGCGCCACATATATTTCACCACATAGGCTGCACAACACGTGTTCAACCACATAGGTTGCACCACATGGGTTACACAACAGCTATTGCACCACGTGTACTGCACAACCTAGATTGAACCACATCGATTGTACTACGTATTGTACATCATAGCGCGCACTACATATAGTTTGCAACATATATTACACCCCGGGTAGCACAACACAGTTTGACCAACATAGCTTGAAACGCATGTGTTGCATCAAATGGATTTCACAACATGTTTTGCATATGATGGAGCACACGTCATCTATTGCGCGACGTAGATCGCATCTTTTAGAGCACCACATAGTTTCACCAACATAGATTGGGCCGCATAGACTGCACAACATGGATCACACAACAGGTTTTGCACCACATAGCGTGCACAACATATATTGTACCATGTAGATTGCACCACATAGACTGCACAACATAGGAAGCACAACAGGTATTGCACCACTGAGACTGAACCACGAGGCTTTTACAGCATAGGTTGAATCGCAGATATTGCACCACATGGATTGCACGACAGATATTGCACCACATAGGGTGCACAACATAGATTGCACCAAACTTGCACCACCTGGATTGCACCACACGGATAGCACAACATAGGGTGCAGCACTTAGATTGTACACCCGATGTTGCTAGAGAAAGCTAGAAATACACTGTTTGGGGCCCACGTTGGCTGACATGGTGCTCTGTGCGACACAATCTTGTAGTGCAATGTTTGCGGTGCAATCTATCTTGTGCAGTCTAGGGCGGCGACGAGGCAGCGAAGGGGAGGCGACGGCGGCAACATAGCAGCCAGACCGACACCCAAGCCAAGACGTCGGGCGGCGACGAGGCGGCGACGGGGCGGCGACGGCGGCAACATAGCAGCCAGACCGAAAAACACGCCCAGACGACGGGCGGCCACGAGACGGCGACAGGGCGGCGACGGCGGCAACATAGCCGCCAGACCGACTGACACCCAGTTCCGTAGAGGAGAAATAAGAACCCCTGGGTACAAGCACTGTTTGGGGAATATGATTGCCTGTTGATCTCACGATCCATCTGTCTATCGATCCCACTTCATAGCTATCGGCCTCACTGTCTGTCGATATCACTAGGTTCTGGTCTAACCACAAGCCGCACCATCAGTCTCCCCATCGACCTCACTATAACGCCATCGAAAGCCATCGATCTCCCTATTTTCTGTCGATCTCATCACTACCCATCATGCAAGCACTGCTTGGGGAAACATCATGAACTGTCGGAGACTCGCGCGGATTTCTTCGATCCGCGCTGGACTCCCCCGGGGACGCCTCGGGCGCCGCCCCTGGCGCGCTCCGCTTGCCGGGGAGGCGGGTCGCCTGCCCAACAGCGGCTGCTGCTGACTTGGGGCAGCATTTGCTGCTCGGCATGGTGTCCATTCTTCCGTGCCAAGTGCGGGCGTGCTGATCGGAGGTATGGCTTGCTGCTTATTTCTAGGCCTCCCCGATGGGGTCAGAGTAGATGTGGTCGGAGAATCGCCCTGCATCGCCGATGCATCGGCGATGCGGCTCGATGCGGAGCCCGATCTAACGATCCATCGATCGATCGACCGCACTATACCTATTGGTCTCAATATCTATTGATGACACCATGTCTTGATTTTACGATCAACCTCACTAGCGATCTCCCTATCGACCTCACTATCGATCTACCGGTATCACGTTTATCTGGACAATCATCCGAACCACCATCGGGACAACCATTCGGACAACCATCGGCACAAGCATCGGGACAACCGTCGGGACAACCATCGGGAAAACCATCGAGACAACGATCGGGACAACCATCGGGACAACCATCGGGACAACCATCGGGACAATCATCGGGAGAATCATCGGGAAGACCATCGAAACAGCCGTCGGGACGACCATGGGGACAACCATCGGGGCCACCGTCGGGACAACCATCGGGACGACCATCAGGACAACTATCGGGATACGCATCGGGACAACCATCGAGACAACCACCGGGACAACCATCAGGAAAACCACCTGGACAACCGCTGGAACAACCATCTGGACAACCATCGGGACAACCATCCGGACATGCGCCGGACAACCGTGGGGCAAGAGACGGGCAACCAGACGAGGAGAGGCTCTTGCTCCGACGTCGCCCTGGCAATGGCGGGATCACCCGTCGCCCGCGCACGCAGCTTCGTCTCACGACACGAGCACGAAACCGAAGCCCTTGTCCCGTTCCGAGGTCTCCGCTTCACCTCGATCTCAGCCCCCGAATGGGCCGCGAGCCCAGGGGGGGAAGCGAGAAGGGGCGGACCTTCTCAGAAGGCTCGGAAGCCCCCTAGCCTGCTGAGCAGTTTTCTGAGCCTTCCCCGAAGGTACACAAAACTCTTCGGAAGGCGCGAGGGCTTCCGAGAAGTCCCGCCGCCTTCCGAGAAGGCCTTCTCCTTCTCACTTCCCTCCCCCTCGCTCGCCGCCGACCAAAGTCCGATTCGGTGCTCTTCTATCACTTAGCGTGGTGGCCAGCAGATACCAGCAGCTATGGGACGCACAAGGACATCCTAACACTAGATGTCCTCCTCTGAGGCGTGCGTCCGACCCGAACATATGGTACAACCATCTTGTAGTATATCGTTTACCGAGCAGTACAGCCAGAAAGCGTCCACCACGAAGCATATGCTGTAAGATGTCTCGGTGCGCGCGTCGCCCCTGGAGGTGCGACGCACACATAGTATTAGTCTGTTGGGGGGAACGCGGGGGGAGGAGAGATCAAAACTCGGGGAGGCGTCGGCGGGCGGGCCCGCTTCAAACGGCTCAGGGAACGTCCTTCCCTGCCTTCGAGGGGGGGGGGGGCTGCACTCAAACCTGAGGAGAATGATGAGGAGAAGGAGGAGGAGGAGGAGGAGAAGGGGGCCGACGACGACAAAAGGCGGGCCGCCTACTGTCCGTGTATATCGTCCCTCTCCGTTCGGATCGTCCTCGGATCTGATTTGACTTCGGACTGTTTACTCGGTCTCTCCTCCCTACACCGCCTGACTGGCGCATACTCTGAGGGACCCTCCTCTTTCCCTGACCTTGTTGCTGTCCATCTCAGCTGCGCAAGCCAAATCTAATTTGTTGCTCGCACCGCTAAGTCGGCGTTCCTTCTTTTCATGCACGCTCCAGGCTTCTGCCTCAACTTTGCGCAACGTCAAAGAGGAGGAGGAGGAGGAGGAGGAGGAGGAGGAGGAGGAGGAGGAGGGAGGAAGTATGGAGACGGAAGGAGGGAGGAGAGAGGAGAGAGGAAGGAGGAGGGAAGCGGAAGGAGGTGGGGGCGGGAGAGCAGCAAGCGCGGTCAGCATCGAATCAGGAAATCGGATATCGAATCGGAAAGTGCGTTGAGTCTGGCCGCATCGACGCGGAGTCGAAAACGGCTCGGATCGGCCGCGCCAGCGCCATGTAGGCATCGGGCTGCATCGGATCGCCAGAACATCGGAATCGAATCGGATCGGGCCGGCCGAAATCGGTACCGAAGCACATCGAATCGGTGGGATCGGAAAGAGCCCTGCGGGGAGGGGTGTTGGAAGGGTGGATAAGGGGGAGGGGCGAGGGTGGGAACTGTGACTGAGAATACGTGGGTGCAGAGCAAGACAGTATGAAGGTCCAGATGAAATGGGTCACGGAGCATATCCTCTGTCACGCATGCGGCGCACAGCGGGCGCCTTTGTAATTGTCTGACCTGGTGCTGCTGGCCGAATAATCGCTGTAATCCGACTGGTAGTAATCCCTCCTGGCAGCCAGCACCCATACTCCAAGAAACAATAAAAGCATGCTTGACATCATACGCAAAAGATGGCCGTGTGTTCGACCATGCAGGTTATTTGGCCCATGGAAACCAGTCACATCGCCCTGACTGGGTTTACAAACCAAGTGCACATGGAAAAGCAAGATTGCATGCACGGTAACGTGTCCCGTGAAATTCGTCAACGTGCGCAACAACGCGATCCACAAAACTCGAAAGTGGACAATGAGCAGGTTACAACGACATCGGGCCCGGCGTTGAACCTGTGGCCGAGGATGGACCGACAAGGCTCGGGATGCAACGGCAGCCTTGATGCGGCACTGCGCCCTCGCTGTAGACTCCAACCGCAGCGGCCCGCTCACTGCCAGAACTGACTTGGGGAAGCCCCGAAAACTTGTACTTCATTCACATAAGACTGATGAGGGAGTGGGAAGCGACCACCCCCCAGGGCTTGGGGCGAGCCTGGCCGAGTGGATGTCGGCTACACGCAAGAGTGACTTTTTTCTCAGAGGCGAAGAGACACGGGCAAGAGTGGCCTTTGGTGCGCGGCTTTGGAGGGGCCGCGGGGAGGCCACATCCGAGCGCGCCAGCCGCTGCTGGGGGGACCCCTGTAGACCCACACCAGAGGTCACTCTGGCGAAGGGTCGCTCTTGAGCGTAGCCTGGGATGTCCCGCGAGCGTCGGCGAGTCCGAAGGGTGTGGTTTGCAAAGAGTGTGGCTTGCAACCTGCACCCTGGGGGGCACCCTGGGGGGCTGGCGGGAACTCGACAGAGCTCTCCGCCGAGTCCCGAGGAGGCATGTCGTGCCCCCAAGCCCCAACGACCCAAATCGCAAACCTCACCCTGGCGTAACCACACCCTTTGCAGTCGCCGAGAGTGCCTCCAGAACTGATCACCCCGGGGTAGCTCGAATACCACCGGGCAGGCCGGGAAGCGAATGTGACAGTAGACGCGCGGAGAGGCAAGGCTCGCCGAGAGAGAGAGGGCGGCCGCCTGTCGTGTCGGCCATGAGCACCACCGTGTTTGCCACTAGGGGCGATTTTGTTTCTCCGCTGGCGGCAATGCAAAGCTCCACTCCTCTAACTACTCCTCATGCTTCTCGTCCTCCCACTTGTCCTCCTCCTCCACCTCCTCATCCTCCTCATCCTCCGCATCCTCCTCCAGCTCCTCCTCCTCCACCTCCTCCTCCTCCTCCTCCTCCTCCTCCTCCTCCTCCTCCTCCTCCTCCTCCTCCTCCTCATCATCATCATCATCATCATCATCATTTCCCTCCTCCCTCTCCTCCTCCTCATCCTCCTCCCCCCCTCCCCCTCCTCCTCCTCCTCCTCCTCCTTCTTCTTCTCGTCCACCTCCTCCTCATTCTCATCCTCCTCCTCCTCCTTCTCCTCCCTTCCTCCTCCATCCTGCATCTCCTCATCTCATTCCTCCTCCTATTCCTCCTCCTCGTCCTCCTCTCTCATCATCATTATCATCATTATCATCATCATCATCATCATCATCATCATCATCATCATCATCATCATCATCATCATCATCATCATCTCATCCTCATCATCCATCATCATCATCATCATCATCATCATCATCATCATCATCATCATCATCATCATCATCATCATCATCATCATCATCATCATCATCATCAGCATCAGCATCATCATCATCATCATCATCAACATCATCATCATCATCATCATCATCATCATCATCATCATCTCATCATCATCGCCATCTGCATTAGCGTAATCGTCAAGATCATGATCATGATATCCAACCTCAGCAGTAGTATCATACTCGTCGTCACTCACATCCTGATCACCATCATTATCACCATCATCATCACCACCACCATCATCAGCATCCTCATTGGCACCGTGATAAGCAGGATCACCATTGTCGTCGCTGCCTTCGTCGATCGTCATCAGCATCATCCGCATCAGAATTCCCTTACAACGCCACCACCACCACAACCAACAGCAACAACTGCAGCAGCAACAACGACGACAACGACAACGACAACGACAACAACAACAACAACAACAACAACAACAACAACAACCACAACAACAACAATCATTTAAAGACTGTTCGCCCTTATCTGCTCGAGTCTCCATTGACGCGAATTTCCCAAACCCTCGATACCCGCCCTTTTCGTCTTCGATCGAACCCCTTTTGGGGGGTATACCTTTCTTCCCTGCAGGCCGGGCCCGGCAAGCGGCGGGGCGGCCGCGGACCGTCGGCCTGGCCAGCGGCAGCGCTGATCGGCGGGGCGGCCGCGGACCGTCGACCCGACCCCAAGAGGGACGGACAGGGGACCGACCGACGACGACGACGACGACGACGTCGACGACGACGGCAACGACGGCGACGGCGACGACGACGACGAGCGAAAGCGAGAGCGAGAGAGAACGACAGCAGGGCCACGAAGGACACGAAGTAGGCCACGAAGGGCGACAGCGGGGACACGAAGGGAATGCGTATGGGGCCACGAAGAGCGCGAACGAGCGGGGGCCACGAAAGGCAGATAATGCGGGGCCACAGAAGGCAACGATGGGGCCACTGAGGGTAGCAACTGGGCCACGTAGGACAATGAGGGGGCCACAAACGGCGACAGCGGGGCCACGAAAGGCATGCACATGGGGCCACAACGGGCGCGAACGAGCGGGGGCCACGAAGGGCATACGTATGTTGGGCCGCGGAGGGTAAGGACGGGGCCACTGGGGCAGCAACGGGGACACGAAGGGCAGCGAGGGGGCCACGAAGGGCGACAGCGGGGCCACGAAGGGCATGCATATGGGGCCACCACGGGCGCGAACGAGCGGGGGCCACGAAGGGCATACATATATGGGGCCACGAAACAAAGCGAGGGGGCCACGAAGGGCTGCAACGGGGCCACGAAGGGCAACGAGGAGGCCACGAGGGGCTGCAACGGGGCCACGAAAGGCTGCAACGGGGCCACGAATTGCAGCGACGGGGCCACGAAGGGCTGCAACGAGGACACGAAACAAAGCGAGGGGGCCACGAAGGGCTGCAACGGGGCCACGAAGAGCAGCGAGGCCACGAGGGGCTGCAACGGGGCCACGAAACAAAGCGAAGGGGCCACGAAGGGCTGCAACGGGGCCACGAAACAAAGCGAGGGGGCCGCGAAGGGCTGCAACGGGGCCACGAACGGCAGTGAGATCCCGATTCCTACGTCATCTGTGAGGGAATCCTAAGCGTGAGCCTCCTGGGTGCCTGGGTGTCGGGAGCGCGGCGCTTGAGTAAATTGCAAGAAATTCCAACGCAAGGGCGCTATTCTTCAGTAAACTGCAAGCAAGTCTCCAGCGAGAGCGCGACTCCAGAGCGCAGGAGGAGCGATTCCTGAATAAATCGTAAGGAAGTCCCAAGCGAGAGCGCGATTCTTGAATAAAATACGAGGAAGTCTCGGGCGGGAGCGGGGGTCCTGGCTAAATTGTGAAGAAACCTCAAGCGGGAGCCGTTGTTGTTGTAACCCGGGGGCCAAGGGCCCAGTTTGAGCATCAAGACTTCTCCTGTCAAAAAACAAGGTGCGAGCGTCGAGGGGCACACTTTGATTGAGAAAAACAATATGCACCGGTGGTGGGGGTCAAGAATAATTATTCTTCAGAAAAGAGAGTTCAACAGCAATCATCACTCCAAGACTGTTCGCTCCTACCAGCCCGCGTGTCATTCACTACGCATATCCCAGACCCTGGATACCCGCCCTCTTCGTCTTCGATCGTACCCCCTTTTGGGGGTTATATTCCTGCCTGGCCACGTGTAATTGGAGACGCCCTTACACAGGGAAACGTTCGAAGAAGTCCGAAGCGAAAGCGCCATTCCACAAGGAAGTCTCGGGCGGCAGCCCACAACGGGCGGGCGATCCTCTGACGGGCGGGCCAGGCGGGTGGGACATTCAAGCGGGATGCCTGAGTAGGGCGAGGGGGCGATTCCTAAGTAAAGTGTGAAGGCGTCCTTGGCGCGAGCGTGGTGCCTGAGCGTAGATAGCTCGATTTCTGAATAACCGCGAAAAAGTCACACGCGAGAACGCAATTCCTGAAAAGGGGATGTCTGGCGGGAGTTGGGGTCTAGACTACTAAAGCGCAAGGAAATCTTAAGCGGGAGCGCCGTTCTTGAGTAAATTGTGAAGAAGCCTCAGACGGGAGGAGGGGTCCTGACTAAATGGCGAAGAAGTCACAAGCGGAAGCGCCAATCCTTAGTAAAGCGACAGGAAGTCTCAGGCGGGAGCGGGGGTCCTGAGTAAAGTTGGAGGAAGTCTCAAGCGAGAGCCGTTGTTGTTGTAGTCCGGGGGAGCAACAATGTAGTTTGACCTGGATCAAATTGTGAGGATGTCTCAAGCGGGGGCGTCGTTCCTGAGTAAATTGAAAGGAAGTCTCAGACGGGAGGGAGGGCCTGAGTAAATTTGGAGGACGTCTCAGGCGGGAGCCGTTGTTGTTGTAACCCGGGGACCAGGGGCCCAGTTTGACCAGGAAAATGTTCCTTGTCAAAAAAACAAGGTGCGAGCGTCGAGGGGCACACTTTGACTGAGAAAAAACAATATGCACCGGTGAGGGGGATCAACAATTATTATTCTTCTGAAATCAGAGCTCAACAACAACAACAACAATCATTTTACCCTCATGCGCCATGCTTCCACATGACACATGCATCCATCTGGATAACACACCCCATCATGGGGGATTTTTCTGGCATGCGGGATCCGATATTCCCTCACCCAGATATCCCGCCCAAGAAGGTTTGGCCACCACCTCTTCCGAGGAACTTCAACATCCATAGCTCGGACGGCACATCGCCTTCGCAATCGCCTTGCGCATGCCCCGCATCTCAGAGGGAGAGGAAGAGGAAGAGGAGGGGGAGATGAGAGAGATAGGGAGGGGGAGGAGGAGAAGGGAGGGGGAGGAGGGGGAGGAAGGATGAGTAGTTGTAGTAGCAGCAGTTGATGATATTGTTGTTGCGGCTGTAGCACTAGTAGTAGTGGTAACGGTAGTAGTAGTCCAAGTAAGTAGAACTGGCTTGTGGCAGCCAAGCGTTTATAGCGACGTTGCTTTTTGATCCTCCTTTCATGTCTTCTCTCCCTATCCTTGAGACGCAGAAGTTTCAAAAAGTTGGATGGATCAGCACACCTAGGAAACCTATCGCTGGACCGGCCCAGATATGGTTCCAGAAGCGGCTCGGGAAGCTGCGCAGGCGCCAGAAGCAGAGAAGCACCACGCACGGGCGCCGGCTCGGGCGTCCGGCCCAAAGCCGCTCCAGAATCGGCCCCGGACGGCTTCCCGGGCGCCGCAAGCAGAAATTCAGAATTTTCGAAAGAAAAATATGTATTGGAATGGCCTCTTTTCGGCGCGATCGGAACTGCCCGGGCGTCCGGCCCGGGAGCCGGGCCGGGTGCCGGCCGGGCCGGGTGCCGGCCCGAGCTCCGGAATCGGCCCGGACGGCCTCCCGGGCGCCGGAAGCAGAAATTCAGCATTTTCGAAAGAAAAATGTGTATTGGAATGGCCTTTTTTCGGCGCCGCCTCGGAACTCGATTTTCCGGCGCCCGGGCGCCGGCTCGGGCGCCGACCCGGGCGTCCGGCCCGGGAGCCGGGCCGGGTGCCGGCCCGAGCTCCGGAATCGGCCCGGACGGCTTCCCGGGCGCCGGAAGCAGAAATTCAGCATTTTCGAAAGAAAAATGTGTATTGGAATGGCCTTTTTTCGGCGCCGCCTCGGAACTCGATTTTCTGGCGCCCGGGCGCCGGCTCGGGCGCCGACCCGGGCGTCCGGCCCGGGAGCCGGGCCGGGTGCCGGCCCGAGCTCCGGAATCGGCCCGGACGGCCTCCCTCCCGGGCGCCGGAAGCAGAAATTCAGCATTTTCGAAAGAAAAATGTGTATTGGAATGGCCTTTTTTCGGCGCCGCTTCGGAACTCGATTTTCCGGCGCCCGGGCGCCGGCTCGGGCGCCGACCTGGGCGTCCGGCCCGGGAGCCGCCCTCGGCGGCGAGCAAGAGCACCGAGCCCGAGTAAAAAAGGAGGAAGTC